CCAGAAACTTTCCTGGCCTGCGGCTTGGCTCCACCACAAAAAATTTTCCGTTAAAAGTATTTGCGCTAAATCATGCCTGTCTAGACGCAGCCGGGCTGTCCACTCTCGTCTTCAGCCTGGGAACACGCCTGTCCCGGCCACACTGACCTCCCAGCCAGCTGGTCACCTACAGTCACTTGGTTCTCAGACTGCTCCAATTCTCTGGCTGTTCCTGCCTCACCTGTAACAATCGTCCGCCCCTTTGAAGCCCCTCCAAAGCCATCCGCACTGGATCTTTCTAATTCCAAGGCAGTGGAGTCACTAACAGACAAATTCTGTCTGCCAGGCGCTGACACAAGCGTCTCCTGCATCAAGCTGCTGCCTTTTCCAGGCGGAGCTTTCTCCGGAATGGCATCCCCAAGTAAAGCCCTCTCACCTCGCTCAGTCCCTGCGAACGGCTTGCTACAAGCCCTGCCAGGACTCTCCCCCATGAGCTTCCTTAAGCGACAGTTCCCCCGTCTCTGGCCCTGCCGCCGTATCCCTCTGCTGAGCCACCACCAACTCCCACATTCATTTACTCCCTGGCTCACCTCTGGCTGCTTGGGTGGACTCACGGACAATCCCCTCAGGCCAACAGACAGAGCGATGAGCTCCAAGGTCAGAGACATCTTCTTCCCTTTGTAACTCTCTGGACTGGCCCCTCACGGCTCCCTGTCCCAGCACACACCAGGGTAGGAATCCTTCTCTCTTCCTCAGGTAACACACAAACCCCTGAACCCTCTGATCTCTGGGATCCTGGCCAGACACTGACCAGATCTACCCCAGTCACTGCCTCCTTCTCCCCAGCAGACACAACCCTCGGGCTACCCCCTTTCTGGGCCGTAGCTGTAGGGATAACATATTCATGTATTGAAAATGATTCCCCCACATGGAAGTGACTCCCCAGAATTTGTTCCCCACAACTTAAAGTGTTTAGATTTATTATTAATTCTTCTTCTTCTTCTTCTTCTTCTTCTTCTTATTTGTTAAGATTGTTAAATGTTTAGATTTATTATTATTATTGCTCTCAGCTGTCACAGGCTTCCTCAGACACAGGAAGAAACTTCCCTGCACACAGACAGACAATCGGAGACAGTCGCTCCCTTGTCCCAGTGCCCCTGGCTAATCCCAGCCCCACAGCTAGAGCCTCAGACTGCTTCCTTCACTCACACACTGCTACCCCCAGCAGCCAAACTGCCAGTGCCCACACCCTATGGCTGCTCACACTGTGCTCCCTCACACAACTCACTTCCCGCTTGTGCGGGTTCAGCCTCACACGCATCCCCAGCCAACGATCCATCCCCCTCCAGAACTTCATCTTGTTCCCCAGTGAGGAATCTACCCAGGCCCACCCCTGCAACCTGCTCCAGAGAAGCGTTGTCCCGACCCCTGGGGTCCCCCTGCCCTGCTTCTGACTCCAGCCTCACCTCTGAGGCATCAGACAGGCCCCCAGAACCCTCATGCCCAGGCCCACGGCCCCCCTGCACAGACACCCGGCCATCTGCCCCAGGCAAACAGCTAGACACACCTTTTCCTTGGTTGCAATAGGACCAACTAGCCCCAGACAGCTGCCCAGAGTCACACGCACCCCCTTTAGAAACTCCAACGTGCTTTGGGGCTGGGTTAAGACGTCAGCTGGGTTGAACACAGCTGCCATGTAATCACACCCCAGACCCACACGGTTACACAGCGAACTCCCAGGAGGAGACAGTCTCTTCAGCTCTTCTATTTTCTTAAGCTGAAGTTCAAATCTGGCAGCTCTCTCCTTGGCTTGTCTGAGCCTCCTGTCCGACTCGGCCATTCTCCCTGCATGTTCTGCCTCTCCCTTGGCAAGTTCTCGTTCCAGCTTCTGCTCACTTTCAGCAATTTCCTTGTGTAGCTTCTGCTGTCTTTCAGCAGCGTCTTGGTCTAGCTTCCGTCTTCTCTGTTCTGCTAGCTGACGAAATCCCTCTGGTTCTCGTTCATATTTAAGTTGCAGTCTCCTCACTGGATCCTGCACGCTCATGTCTTCTGCAGCATTTCTGACAACGACCTCAGCTGTGGCTTAGAAGTTGTCTCTCTAAAGGCAATGCCTCTTTCCAGGCACAAAGCTTCCAGAGCCCTCCTGTCCAGACTCTCAGACGGTTGCTGACTCGTTGCAGCGGCTCTTTAACCCACCAAACTCTCCCCACCGACAATCCAATGGAGACAGCGCGGGGTCCTGATCCAAAGCTCAATTGACCAAGATCTGTGGATCCTGCCGACTACGCCACTGTGACGGACCCAGCCGGGTCTGGGCACAGCTGAGGGCGTCCAGAACCAGCAGAACAGCTTTCATGTGACACCTCACACGGCCCCTGTGTATAGACTTTTGGGGCATCCCCCCCACGGGTGCAACAGTGATCGTTAGAATCCAATAACCTCACACCACTGGCTAAGCAGCAGTTCTGCAGAAAAGGGCCTGGGGGTTCCAGTGGAGGAGAAGCTGGAGAGGAGTCAGCAGGGCGCCCTGGTAGCCAAGAAGGCTAATGGCGTATTAGGGGCATTAGGAGGAGCATGGCCAGCAGATCCAGAGGTGTCATTATTCCCCTTTATTCGGCTCTGGGGAGGCCACATCTGGAGTGTTGTGTCCAGTTCTGGGCCCCCCACTACAGAAGGGAGTCCAGTGGAGGGTGACCAACATGATTCGGGGGCTGGAGCACTTGACCGATGAGGAGAGGCTGAGGGATTTGGGTCTGTTTAGTCTGCAGAAGAGAAGAGGGAGGGGGATTTGGTAGCAGCCTGCAACTTCCTGAAGGGAGGTTACAAAGAGGATAGAAAGAGGCTGTTCTCAGTAGTGACAGATGGCAGAACAAGGAGCAATGGTCTCAAATTACAGTGGGGGGAGCTCTAGGTTGGATATTAGGAAAAACGATGTCACTAGGCAGGTGGTGAAGCACTGGAATGGATTACCTAGGTAGGTGGTGGAATCTCCATCCCTAGAGGTTTTAAGTCCCAGCTTGACAAAACCCTGGCTGGGATGATTTAGTTGGGATTGGTCCTGCTTTGGGCAGGGGGCTGGACTCGATGACCTCCTGAGGTCTCTTCCAGCCCTAGGA